AAAAAAAAAAAAAAAAACAAAACAAAACATTGCACCATCTGAATAGATATACAGCCTCAGACAATACTCCCAAGACTCCCAAGAGTTCGAACAAGAGGCATCAACCAATCACAATAAGATACCTGCGAGGCGACGAGGCTACGAGGCCGCGAGGATGCGAGGCTGCGAGGGTAACAAAATAAAAGTACAACAAGCTGAAGCGAAGCAATTTTGTAACGGCATCTGCCTGCCCGGCTATAGGCTCTCATGCTACGGGCCTAGGCCATATGGCCTCCCGTCCTAGTGATAGCCCGGGCCTGCTTCTGGAACAACGTAGCCAGCGCAAGTATCTGATAAATCTCTCTCTCTCTCAGACAATACTCCCAAGACTCCCAAGAGTTCGAACAAGAGGCAACAACCAATCACTCTCTCTCTCTCTCTCTCTCTCTCTCTCTCTCTCTCTCTCTCTCTCTCTCTCTATCTCTATCTATCTATCTATCTATCTATCTATCTATCTATATATATACGATATATATATATATATGTCTCTGTCTCTCTCTCTCCCTCCCTCTCTCCCTGTCTCTGAGTCTCCGTCTCTTCGCGACCAAGCGATAACCCGTGTGTCTGTTGAAGAGTGGCCTCCATTTTGCGCAGCAAACGCTGCACCTGAGCTCGCCGATCTATGGGGGAAGGAATCATCGCCGATGGTGTGCCGTGTGCTCGCTGCCCTTGCGGCCCGAGTCGTGTCCTCGGTCTCACTCGTCGCCCTCCTCCATCATCTCCATCCGCCGCCTGTGATCTGGGTATGTAATCGGCGTCCCCTGCATCATCAGTGCCTGTGATCTCTCCCGGGGCGACATCCATGTTGTCGTCGTGGACGATAAGTACACTGCCGCGTCTCTTCTGACCTGCTACTGCATCCCCTGTGCCCTCCCTGCCGACGATATCCGCCGTCGTTGCATCCCTCCCTCCAAYATCCAATGCGTCGCCGTCAGGTGCAATCTCTCCGTCCTCGAGATGCACAACACCCGATCCTCTCTCTCGGGAACGCATATGTGAGGATGAATGTGACGCCTTCCTTGCCGAGGCCTTCTTCCTTGCCCGAGAAAGACTCGCCCTGAACCCTCGTCCCGCATTGCCGGGAGAGGACCGATCTCTCCCTGAACCTCGGGATGACGCATCAACTGTGCTGGACCCTGTTGCAATTCTGGGACTGCTGCGGAAGGGCCCATCGGAGCTGTCGCGTGCATACTCRAAGTGTCACCTCGTGGATGACCGCTCCCGCCATGCAGCTCGATCCGCTCCTTGCCGCCGTGATCGCTGAAAGAGTCCTCAGAAACTGGAATGTGCTCAATTGCGGGGACTTGTGGTAGTGGAACGCTAGCAACCCCACCATGACGTTTGCGCACACGTGAAGCGATAGTGTTTTTTTCCCTTGATCCGCGTTTCAAGCGCCTCAGGTCACCGCCCGAGACAGGTCGTGAACCATCATCCACTCCATCTCGAGCATCATCATCCACTCCATCCCGAGCGTCATCTACTGCTGTGCGGTGCTCGCCCCCTGCCCCGTCGTCGCGCATTGTGTCACCATGTGCAGGTCGTGGCCTGTCTCCTCCGTCACCGTGATCATCGCCACTGGCGCTATCGTCGTCGTCCACGCCAAACCCACGGTCGTCGAAATCGCTGTCGCCATCCTGTGCAGGCCTGCCAGTCCCGAAGAAATCCTCGTCATCGCTGGACGAGCTCTCGTACAAAAAGTCTCCCTCATCCCATCGCTGTCGAGGCTTGCGTACTAGCTCGTCCGCTGCCCTTCCACGACTCGCAACACTACGCCTCCCGTCAGGACCTCCACGCCCGCCTCGCCCACGACCGCCCCAACGACCACCTCCGCGACCGCTGCTACGACACCTCCTCCTTTCAAACTCCCGCAAGCGACAAGTGGCTCCCATGCGGGACACAGCGCGCATCCTCACTCTCGCCTGCATCAACTCCTTCGTGACCGTCACACGGGCTCCTCGGTCTGCCACCAGCCGCTGGTCGGTGGGCACCTCCTCCTCCACCTGCTGCCAGTAGTGCACCCAGCTCCCATACGGATGTGGCCTGTCACTGGGAGCATCGTCCGACATAGCCTGCCTGTCGAGGAGCCGAAGGTTCCAATGGCATCGCACGAGCTTCTCGGCCCGCGTCACCTCCAATCTGTTACGAGATTTAGAGTGGATGAAACTCCAACGGGACCAAGCTCTCCCGCAAGGCGATGCAGTCGCCCACACACGCAGTATCCTGCCAGCGAAGAAGGCCGTGTGCGGTAACCTCTTCTCCTTCGACTCCCAGAAACATGCTGGATGGGTATAGCTCCTCGCTGCCCGGTCCATGGCCACGTCGTCGAACGGTGGCTCCCTGGAATGAAACTTGTCAATGGCAGTGAGGACCTCGTTGTGCTGATCCGAATATTTCGGGTACCCAAACTGAATCAGAGCGAGTTTCAAACCGTGCTGCATCTCCTCGTCRTCTGGCATCGTGCGGTCTCGAAACTCGGGGTCCAACATCATGGCAGCAACATGAGCAGGCGACTTGAACATGATGCGGCGTCTGTCAAACACTTCAAGCAGCGCATCCTGCTCGTCCTTCTCCAAAGCAGCACATGCAGACAAACAACGCACGATCATCCCGTCGTACTGACGCAAAATCTTGCCAATCTGCCTTGTGTCGCTGTCCACCATCTGCAGCATGTCCATGATGGGATCCAACAACTTGTACAACGCTTTCATATCCTCCCACCACTGAGGACAACCGACACATGTTGTGACCTCCGCAGCGTCGTCTTGAATCTTCTTCGTTGACCAAACAGTGTCCTTCCATCGATYATCAACGACCACCTGCATAAGATGCGATTGCAGCAGAAGAAGTCGTCGCATCATAATCACATGCGTACCGAAGCGAGTCTCGGTGGGAAGTAGCAGAGCCATCGTCGTGAAAGCTTGCAAAACTTCGCGAGCGTGGCTATGACGCTTGAAAAACTTTGTGACCAAACGCGCCTGAGCAATGCGGGTCGCCACCCACTGAATGCCGCCGATGTCCTCAAGGATGAGGTGCATGACATGCGCCACACAAGGAATCCAGAAGATGTGCTTGACACTCTCATCCTTCTGGAACACCTCCATCGCAGAAACGTTCGAAATGGCAGCTTCTGTGACGAAAGCGGTGATGTCAGCGAGCTTGATGTAAAGGGACTTCAACCTTCGCAGCCAAGCCTGCGCCAGAGCAGTGGCATCCTTCTTTCCTCACATGACATCTGTCGCGACGTATGTGGCGCCCCGTGTAGTGCCGACGAGATAGTTGCACAACGTTTGGCCCCGAATGTTGGTCCAACCGTCTGTCATAATCGTGCAACCGTAGGTAGCAGCAGTAGCGAGGACAAGTTTCACACACTTTTGGACTTCCACATCAAGCTCATCCAAAAGTGTGGTACGGATCATGTGATACGTTGGGGGGTTTGGGGTGGGGACTCTTGGAACCCCAGGCGGGATGATCAACGTCAACATGCGTTTGAAGCTCTCAAGCTTCACGCAGTTGAATGGCATGCCGCTCTCGACAATGAATCGCATGATCTGTAGGTGCCATGCGTGCTCCAGCGGGTCRTTGTAATACGAGGTCACCGCCTGCTGCCTGTAAATGCCCCAGTCGTGCACCGACGCCCATACCTAGCGAATCCCACACCCCGCCCCCGGCCGCAGGTGATGCGGTGGGGCCTGGACTCGAAGCTGCAATGTTGCGCAGATTCTTTAAAGGATCCAGTGTCCCAAAAACACCGGGCTGGGAGGTCGGGCCGTTCACTGGCACAGGAGTGGGTGACGAATCCGAAACCTGAACGGGCTCGTTGAGCTGGACGTTTCCCGCACCCTCGGGGGCCGTTGCAGCGGCCTCGCCAACTGGTGCCGAAGTCAAGTCTGGTGTAGGCCGTCGTGTTTGCGAAGGAGGGGGAGACAACCATGGATACGCAGCGGATTGATGTCCTGTTGCGGGTGCTCCTGCCACGGTCGGACGTGTGCCTGCGCGTCGAACTCTTGGGACCTTGTCCCTGTTACCAATGAACAACGGGGCGAGGCCGGATGATGTGCCAGCGCCCTTCCCCCACCCATCACCCTCGACGAAAGCACGAGTGCCTTGCTCGTCGAACGGTACTGGTTCCCCGACACCCAAAACTGGCACGGTGCCTTGCGCATCACGCTGCGCTGCCACAGATGGCCTGCCATCAACGACTGCGGGAATCGTTTGACGAAGCGGCGCAGGTGAGACTGCCGCCGGACGAGGGGGGAGGGGAGCAAGTGGTGCACATGGAGATGGCTCCACTTACGAGGGGGCGGCGGTCGACGGGGGCGGCAGAACGGTGTCCTTGGGAAAACGAAGAGGTGGCCATTGAAAAGAGGGATGACCTGGATGGAGACTCTGCAAGGCCTGCACGGCAGAAGCCAAATGTGCAGGACACTTGGACATATCCTTTGACCAAATCGCGTGCCACACCGCCGGAGTCGCCACGGGGCATCTATACCCCTCGCCACGAAAAAAGTGTTCCTTCGCATCACGAGCACCCCCACATAGAGAACRACCGCATAACCTGCACAAACAATGACGACCGTTCTTCCTACCGACAACAGTGAATCCATCTAAATAACGACCACGAKCAACGAAATGCCAAACAGGATCATCTCGTTTTCCATCCGCCTTTGGATCCACCTTGAAAGGGGAGTCGAAGGTCTTCGTGTTGTGACCTTTTCTACTACCCTCCGCCCTTTTCCCCGTTGCCGAGGAGGACTCCGCGGGGCCCTTCCCGTTATTGCCTCGTGGGTCAGACATGTTGTGGAGACCGAATGAAATCCGCAGAAGGGGTGAACTGAAACGAACTCCGACGCCGACGACAAAGAACTGCACGGAAGTTACTGAACAACCGACGAATCAACCTGTAAAAGATGGACAGTGACAGGAACGTACACATGTTTCACAACAACCACAGCGACAAACAAGAGAAGGAACAAACACAAAGACCCTTAGAGAGAAGAAAAAAAAACACCCCTAGAAAGAAAAAAAATAATAAACAAATCAACACATTCCACAGCAAAAAAACACACACATTCCACGACAAAAACACACACACACATTCCACGGCATCCCGTCTTTGCCGCACCCCCTAGCGTCCTGGACCCCCCATGCATAGCCGGTCATGGCGGTCCACCCCTAGAAAACGACAAGGAGCAAACATAAAGGTAGAAATAAAGATAGAAAGAAAAAACAAAAAAAAAACACACACATTCACGGCATCCCGTCTTTGCCGCTTATGGCGGTCCACCCGAAGAACAAGAGAAGGAACAAACACAAAGGTAGAAATAAAGATAGAAAAAAAACAAAAAAAAAACACACATTCCACAGCAAAAAAACACACACATTCCACGGCATCCCGTCTTTGCCGCACCCCCTAGAGTCCTAGACCCCCCATGCATAGCCGCTCATGGCAGTCCACCCCTA